ACCGGTAAAATGAACACATGCAAGTGTGCTAGGATATCCTCGATCGTCTTGAAACCGAGACAGGCTTGCGAGGAAGAATCATCACCAGTGATGAGTCCTGGATACTGGAGTACGACCCTGAGACTAAACGACAGGGCATGCAGTGGAAGAATCCGACGTTTCAATGTTTAAAGATAGTACGACAGTCGAAGTTCAAAATCGAAGTGATGTTGAACACATTCTACAATGTGAAGATGATCGTCCACTTCGAGTTCTTGATACGAGGCCAGACAATTAACCAATATCTCTATAGAGTGATACTGCAGCGTTTGCTTCGTTCATTGCGGGAGAAGAGACAGGAGTCATGGCAGAACAACTCGTCTGCATCACCAAGACAACGCGTCTGCTCATTATGATTTGAGCATCCGATAGTTCCTAACCGAGATCGGCGTGCTAGAGCAACCTCCCACTCACCCGACCTAGCTCTGTAGGATTTATATTATCCAGCCTCAAGGGGATCATCTAGGGGACCAGTTTTGGAGACATGGACGACATTAAAAAGTTCGTGACAACTGAGCTGCGGAGGATCCCGGAAGAATGCACGCAAGCGTAGCGGAGACGAATGGGAAAGTGCATCAGACTCTAGTGGGTCATCTTGAAGGAAAAACAGAATGAACTTTGGGTATGAAATGAATATTTTTTGACACCAGGCCTGGAATTCTCTGACACGCCTCGTATATATGGTTATCATGTTCAAATTGAGAAAAGGGTGTTGGACATTTAGGTTCCACAGTCACAAATGACATAATGGCATGATGAAATCAGGGAAAGCAGTGGATGTGGAACGTAATTCAAAACCGATAAAGGGTGTTCCCGGAAATGGACCAGTTCCCCAGGTTACAAAATCAAGTCTGAAAGTCGGACTGGATGAGTTGGAATGCGAGTAACCAACGAAGATGTAGTTTGGGCAAATGGACTCAACAGATAATTGCCTTTGAAGTGCTTCTACAGCGGAGATAAATGATCCTTATTTTCTTTCCATCATAAATTATTAACATCTGGTTTGTGCAAAAAGCAGCAACGTGAGTTGCATTTCCTGATGGTCAAAAGCCTAAACACTTTGTTTTGGGGACCATGTAAGATTCCACACACTAGAGCTGCATAGGAGTGCATTATGAAGGAAAATAGCGCACACGTGGATAGATGTATTTCAATGCAGTTACTTCGTCAAACGATGAAAGCAAACAGGTGGCGGCGCTCGTGCGATCAGTAAGAGAAACCTCAGGTTTGACAGTGTGATATGAAGACAGCAGTCGGAGCTGTTCGTGACCGGTCGCAAGGAACACCTTCGCTGCCTCAACACCTTCAAAGCGGGAGAGACACTAAAAGCAGCGAAATTTGCCAGTCGAATTTCGCCAAGATACTGAATACACTTTTGTGGGAGCAAGTAGAAATTTGAACTTACAGCTCCATCGAAATATGATCAAAAACGTTAAAATAGCAAACTAAGACTTGTTAACACTGATCGTTTTGCACGTTCCCACGTGATATCGCTAAAAAGTCGTTTACCTCACAATAGATTAGGACTCCAAATGTAAGATGTCAGTGGATAATCGTTCTCTGAAGTTAACATTGGGAAAAACACATATCCAACGATTGTCTGAACGGTTGCGCTGAGTTCGCTTCAACTATATGTTCCAGCAAACCGTTCCAGAGATTTACCACTCGGCGTTCTAAAGCACAGGGGATGGGGGAACTTGCTTCAAATCTGGAACCACAAGCTTGTCCGCGTGTGCTGCAAAACGTTCGTAAGTGGAGCAGTGACCTTAGCATAGGTAAGTTACCTATATGTAGAATTCCGTAGACCATTATGAGGTCAACTGGCCTCTCGCACCTGTCCTCGTACGGTAAGTCCTGCAGACTGGGGATGACGAGCAACTGTTTGCGGATGAAAACTGCTTTCAAGGACTAAGCGCTAAAAGAGTAATCACCAATCAAGTCGGATCGTTATGTCTGTAGTGCCCATCCGATTCAGACTGAGCAACATGGTGGCATAGCATTAAAGCACTATGAAAAACTAGCGCTGACAATAACGAGTAAGTGAGTACGGAATGCAAACCAGGCAAAAGGAAGAACTCGAGGATTATTCGTGAGACGTGATTCAAATGCTACCGCACAAAAAAATCAAACGTCGCACCCATAGATAATCCGTATTGTCCAAAAGTGTAGGTGAAAACAACTAAGTTAAGCCGAGCGAAGAATAGAGGTCTACGCATGGAAACAGGACCATATAAAATGAACTAGAAACGACATTTCGCTTGGGATTTGCCATGATTGAGAAGTATGCCAGTTTTTTAACGCATAGACAAGAAATCTGTAGGGATGTTGCACAGAAAGTTGCCATAGTGACGATGACGCAGTACACACCGTGAATAGGTGTACGCCCATTGGAAAAATCAATCGTCTAGCAATCAATAAAGGTTTCAAATCGCGTGCTTCTCACGTGCTTCATCTGATCTTTGTCGTGTACAATGCGTGCACAGCATCCGTACTAATTAACTAATTGCTTGTAAGCCAAGTTTGGATTCCTTGAGATAGTTCGAACCATCCCTGCGCCTAGTGTTGCACCTTATGTCATGAGGCGTAACCACAACCAACGCACCAACATGTACATCAAGAGGCTGTCAGAATATGTAGGCGGTGCAAATTTAATTTCGACACGTATGCCAGAGTTATGACAAACAATCACATTAGGACTACTTGTGTACCTAGAGAGGACCAAATGAGAAACCGTGTTCATGCATGAAAAAGGCTAGGCCAACTGTGACTGCAATCTTAGCTTCCGTACCGAACGAGTAGGAGTTGGTGCAAATTGCATCACGCGAAATGTACACATACGCACACGAACATACAAATTAGGAAGACGCAGTCTGGCACAGTGCTGCGCATCGGGCTCCTTGATGAGTGATGAAGAACTACAACACACTGTTTTTCTAATGACAAAGGAAATAGCACCAAGATGGACATGGGCTTCGAATTCATGAACTAAGGCGGCGGAGTAGTGATGAACAACCCACCGAGGAGGTGGGTACATGCATGACCAAATAGCCATCACCGTACAGTTAGCATGACAAGGCGAAAACAATGAATTGAGTGTAGAGTGAATCTCGGAGCGTGTAAGGAATGAGTTAACCCCCATTGCGAAGCGGTGCACAATGTAGCTTAGCTATACAAAGGTAATGAATGCGGGGACAAATTAGACAGAGTGTCAATCAATGCAAAGCGAATAACAAACAAATCCAGGCATAAAGAGGATATAAAATGTCTAAGGATCCATTAACACATCCAAACGATTGAGCGCAGTGTGACTGGCGGATGCCGACGCGGAAATATGACGAGCACGTGATGGCCAGGTAGAAAGCTGTTCCGCAAAATAAAAAAAGTTGCATTATACACTGGCAACAACCCAGAGCTTTGTGAGGAGGTCCGATAAAGAGTTCGAGAATGAAGCGAAACTAACTGGCTGCGCCAATGCGTGGACGAGAGGACTTCGGGGTAATGTTTATGTGGCGATAAGGAGTTTGGTTACGAAAACAAACGGATTCGATGCCTAGCGATTCATTGTGTTCCGGTGGGCATCCAAAGCATGCAACCATGACAGATAGACAAAGTTGAGGCCACACCATGGCCCATAAGTGCCGGAGATGGTCACAAGAAACGTAGTATTCTAATGGAGTTCATGAGTAGGGGATGAGAATGTTTGATAGACGTGCTAAAGTAATTTTTACACACATACACACACCCATATATATATATATATATATATATATATCTAGCATCAAGAATGCAACATCAGCCTCAGCATGGGGCATATATATATATATATATATATATATATATATATATATATATATATATATATATATATATATATATAGGAGTCTCCGAGATGACCACGTGCAGTGGGAAACTAAATTCCGCTGACACACAACATTGTGGAAAGAGGGCCCAGATCACATGCGCATACAAGCTCGGTAAGGTAATCGCCGGATGGCCAATGTTAAAAGTGACTCTGGAAATGTCATTAAGATCGAGGCCAAGATGAATTAATCTAAACAGTAGTGGGCCTGTTATAATCACTTAATCATAGTCCCCGAATCTTGTTTGCAGGCAAAGCAGAAATGGAAAAGAGATGCTACAACGATGCCCGAAGTCTGCCTCCAACCCATAGGCATTTATGTAGCACACATCGCTGTAAGTTCCGTGACAGCGATAAGCATTGTTAATAGTGGAGCGGTATGTATGAGGTCAATAAAACTGCCATAAGTGCCCCACAGAGGAAGTGATTGGAAGGCTATAGCGTGAAAATGCTGGCTACCGGAAAACGGTGTGTGTGGGGGTGGGTGGGTGGAAAAGCAGCTATCGCCAGTGTGAGCAGCTGAGCTGTGACGAAAGGCAGATGAGTGAGCTCCGTTGTGAAGATAAGAGGGCATGCAAGGAAGGAGGAAACCCGTGATGCCACTTCATCATGGAAAACTCGAAAACCCCAAGTGGAGAGCAACCGAAAGAGATGGAAACCGCGAGAATCAAATTCATGCAGACTGAGCGTTTAAGGTGCTGCAAAGGTGACATGTATGCGAGACAGTGGGGAAAAGAATTAGAAAGAAAAGTATAGCAAAAGGTATCAGCAGTACGACAGGTACGCAGTACAGTAGCTTCGCTGCCACGCAACCACCAAGAGTCGCGGATGGGCTAATGATGTTACGACGATCGCACAGTCCCCTACACAAGCTGTAACTCGCGACCTCCGGGTTCCAAGGTAGATGCCTTGTCCCTTCGGCCACAGGCTGGCTAAAATGAAGGAAAAGTATAGCGATCGAGTGAGCGTACATAGCGAAAAGCAACGAGAATACGCTGCTGGAGTCAAAGCAATAGACTGTTGCTCAGAATCACAATAGGTAAATCAAGCGATGCCGAAATACAAGGGAAGCGATGGTGTTGATGGACAATGTTGCACTCACTGTGGAGGGGATGTAAAGGTCGAACACCTCATTGGAGTCCAAATCAATAGCGTGAAAACCTTCCGCGGATCCGTAAATGACCTTCAATCGCTGATTCTCTTCCACGGTCAAGTCGACAAGAAGGGGACGGTGCTTGAGTTCGGAGAAACGCTGTACGATGCAAATGCGAAGAGATGTAAAGACAGTGATCATGAGGCGGTACAAAACCTCAGAGTGGCCAATAGTGACTTTGCAAAACGATAATGTGGAAGGCGTTGAGAGACTTAGTGTGGATGGAAATATGTGTATGATCTGTGGCTGTTAACCAGTGATTCGTCAGTTTCGCGTTTCTGTTCTCACTTTCTTCCAAACGGAACTGTGCGGGTAAAGCTGTCTGCGTTGTCTGCCGTTTGATTAGCACAGTGGCGCGAGACACGGCAAGATTATTTGCCACGCTCTGATGCTCGGGTTTTAGTGAACAAGCTGAGTTGAACAGGTACCCGTTTTACCGGACAAGTAAATACTCACTGCCCTCATTAATGAACTAGCACTTAGGATTCTGATCAATCCGTCTAAGGTGTATTTAGAATCCGAATCAAACAAGCTGCTACCTGATCGTCAAGGGCCAACCAGAAGTTATAACAACAATGAACAACAATGATTTATCACGGGTAAAAAGCATGTGCTGGACAAGTCCCGTAGGATGGCTGGAGTAAAAATTAAGATTTGAAGGATCATCGAATAAGTAAATCGTTATTTAAAGCGTCCACCGAGTTAGCTCAGGAGCTGGGTTATAGAACATGGACATGTAGGGATTGCATTACAATTCTTTGAGAGGAGAACAACCGGAAATGGTGGTGGACAAATCCACACCACCTTACCATCGCTGTATTTCAGTCGAGGCGGAAGGTTTCCTTACACCCCCTGAGCCATTTTAAGTCAGCTTCTTGCAATCAACCAACGATTCCACTCAGCATATACGAGATGAAAATGTTTATGGTGAGTTGAGAAGCTGCCCCCCATTCCGTTGGTTCCGGTCAGCAAGCATATACATGACTGAATATTCACCTTTTATGGGTGAATAAAATATAACAAATAAATCGCCTGCTGTACGCCGTAAGGCTTCGCTGCCACGCGACGACAACCAGTCGCGCGTCGGTTGCACATATTGAAAAGATGTCCCCCCAACGCGGATTCGAGCCGTTGACTTTATGATTGCAAGCCAGGCGTGCAGACCACTCGGCCGACCACGGGTGTCAGTTCTGGAATGCATGGATATATAAGGTGCATTCCGGACTTGACTCGTAAGACAACGTTAGAAAAAACATTACGATGAGTTGTAAAACAATATTTTTACCTAGCTATGGGATAATGAATACGCCTGAGAGATCCTCGGGAAAACCCTTTGACTTATTTAACTATCATAACAACGATCGGATCATTGATGGCAGCAGGAACGAACTAATCCACCCAGATAGAACTAATCAGCATAACAGATGTCTGTCACAAAAGGTTCGCTACAGACGATAAGCAATGCAACCTGATTCATATAAGTGATGAAGCCTCAACCCCGCTTTGACAACACATTGTTCTGGCTACGTACCGCCTATTAGGGATGCCGATACGCACTACTCGGCTCATTTTTCGCTCCCACTTGCACTCTTAGCGGCGTCCTTCTCCGCTGACGAGTCGACCCTGCCCTCATCTATGGCATGCTGTGTCCCATCTTCAGAGTACACATCTATGATGGATAACGAATCAGGATTGACATTGGAACCGTCGGATTGTTGCGTCACAACTCATAGTCTTATCTCACGCCTACAATATCAATGTCTGCAGAACATATGAGCTGCATTTGAAATCCGATAGTGGCCAGATACCCCACCCGCATCTAAATGTTAATACAACCCTTTTTGGTACTCGTATATGTCATACCGTTTGATGTAGCAGACAGGATTGAAGTCGGAACCCTCGGCACTGCTACATCGTACTCCAAGCTCTTTATTTTGCAACTGTAGATTTGCTTCTCTGAACACATGTTACAGTTCTCATCTTATGTGCCTTCATTCTCTGCGTTCCGTAGCAGATGCATCCTCTGACTGTCATGTCCCTCACTTCTCAACACGTATGCATCATCATCATCATACACGTTAGATAGAGGTGGGGAACACCTCAGCTACTGTGCCGCAATACAAAGAAAAAAATGAGAGCGAAAAAGAAAACAACTGGTGAAAGCTGGCTGAGCTACCGGTAACGGATGGGCATCGTGTCGTTAAGCTACCAGCCGGCTGCTGTGCACCCAAAAAAATTATTATGCAAAATTATATAAGGCTAAGTAATGAGATCGTGGTTGGAGGGGGAGGCTAAGACGGATGGAGTGGGACAAAGAAACTCACAGCACGAACGCCACTGAGGTCGGCTCCTAGCCATATCAGCAAGTGTGTCCAACCAAACGTGTTCATCGTCTTTCGGACCCCAACCAGGAAGCCCAGACGCTCCAACCGAGGCCAGTTCAGAAGTGAGGGTCTTCATTCATCTGGACCAAGTCATCGCTTGGCCATCGCTTGGTCATCGCCATCCACACCCCCGGCGCGCAAACAACACACGTCGCGGAAGTCGGTGGGCTGGCATGCGTAACACGTGGCCGAGCCATCGGAGCCTGATGCTCAACACGTATGCAGTGAGTATCATCTATCCAGTTGTGGGTACATTGAATAACGACAACATTCATGAGGTACTTGTGTTTCTTCGTCTCCCGAATGACTTCTACGGAACTGCACTAATGGTTGTCTCAAGTTGCAAGCATTACAGTCGATTACTTTAGCCTGGTGTAATCTTGCGCAAAAACTTTACTTGATAGTCTCATTGCAAAGTTAGTTAATGTGGTTACATTATCCGTTACCGCGCACAAGGTATCATGAAAACGGTCCACCATTTGACTGGACAAGTCATTACAGCGAAATTTTTGCTCAGTTGTACCATTCATTTTCCTTTATGCCAGTGTACCTGTTAAAAATGATACCGGGAGGGCGTATTTTGCGTCATCACTAAGGAAGAATATGGGAATCAAGGGATTCCACCCCCCGTTAACAATCAGTGATGTTACACTCGATCCAAGATTTCGGCACTCCCCGTGAACATTGTATTTTAGCTTATCGATAAATATGCATTATCATTACAGATGCTACTTTTAGTAGCATTATTATTGCTGTGAATCGGGTCAACACAGGTCGGGACACTGTGACTTCAGCTGGTAAATCTATCTGCGGCGGAAAAATGGAGCCAAGTTGGATCAGTCGTTTGTTAGGAGGGAACACGGACTGGTTCAACAGGTGTTTGACAAAGCCCAGATAGAAGAGAACTAGCGAGCAAGTGAAAGTCTCCATCGAAGGTGGATGGGCTGGGGCCCATCGAATAGAATAATACAAGGACTTCCTCCAATTAACTGAAAGACACATCAAGTATTTCGTGTGAACAGGGTAAAGCGATCGCTTTGTGATTGACAGAATGAGTTTCTTGCAACGGTTCACAAAAGTTAGTGAGATGATACAAAAACATTACCGCGACACAACTCACAACTCACAAACCGTGTTTGTGTCATGTCAGACGTTGCATCACACTGTAGTTTGAAATCGAATCGACGGGTATTTCTCAATCGATAAGAAATACGATGCCTAACTGAGATCAGAGTACGGTTTCACCTGCGTGTTGTGCATTTTCGCTGTTGTCATGGTGAACACCTAAACACACGCACACACACGCATTGAGTACTGACTTGTGTTAAGCACTGATCACCTTCAACAAGGTCGATCGAAGGTGAAGGGGAACAATTATCGCGAAGGATTTCACCTGTAGGAAGTGCTCAATGTCTTGAGTACTACAGCTTCGGAAGCGATAAGCAAAGGAAGGAAGTCTGTAGGAATAAAGTGGCCAGTGTATTCTGGGAACCCATCCCAGAGAACGATGATTTGTCAGAAATCCCGGAGAACAAAAATGCGTAAGCAGAACGTCGAGCAATAAACTGTAGCGTTACAGGAGGAGAAAATAGTTAACTCTGTGTAGGACGCAAATTGAAAAACCATTAATAGGGAACTTCAAGATGGCGTTCAAGTGATGAGTAGCCGTCCAGTACTCCCAACAGTCTCATTACTGGAAGGAACAACACCGAAACCCATACAATTCGGATACGGTGCTGCTGGCCGGAATGACGGAGGGTATAGTTCAACTAAAAGCGGGGTTTCAATAGAGATCGCCCGTCACAGCGGATACTTCAAACCAAGTGAGAAATACACCAACTTGCGGTTAATCGCGAACAACCTTATTTCGTTTACTCAAACTATGTGGTTAACATATGGCTGGCGCGGGAATTGTAGATTCTGGATGCTGTAGATAACTTTCAGACTCCAGAACGAAGTCCAAGAAACCCGCCGCGGGTTTAGATCGAAACGCTGTATAATATGTCTCGCAATCGACAGTAGTGGCGCAGTTGCTATCAGCTTCTAATGGAATCGTTTATTTAAAGTGCGGATAATAGTGCGTACCAGGGCACGATCTACTGTGACGCGTGGGTGGGAAAAGTCTCATAGAAACTACCTCACCGCACACGTCGCATGTTCACACGCAAACTAGCCATGTGCAAACTCACGTTGTCGGCATGGTGGGGGCATTGTGATCTTCAAGGTGAGCTAGTGGAACTTAGGGTTTAAGTTAAGCAACGATTCACCCCCCCCCCCCCCCATGTTCTTCGGAAGTGGCATCCCTTTTTGACCCATGACCGTATGATATTGCGGTTAGGTTCGATGCGGATACTTCCCGAGTGCAAATGACCTTGACCAATGTCACCACAGGGCTTGGCAAAATTTCATAGTGGCTCATAGCTGATAAGAACACATAGCAATCACACAATGTCAGCTCGTAAACGATGCACAGACGCAGACCGACCGGTTTGATGCGTGCACGTGGTTGGCCAACACTGTAACGCTACCCGACACTCGCTGGTTGATTGCGCAGGGTGATAACACTGGCAGAGCGTCACGTAAGTGGTGTCCACGAAACCTGGTCCTGATGGATTGGAAGGCTGGCCACCAGACAGTACTAACAGGCAGGGTATGGTATAGTAAAAGAAAAACGACCTTAACTGATTGAAGAATTAAGTTGCACCAAAAGTTTTG